GAGAACTGTCCTACTGACCAAGCTGAAAATGGTTCCACTGTTAAAAGGGAACAATTATTCTCCACTATACATGTTTCCGGCGGCGGGAGGGGGAGCGGAGCCCTCCCTTACTCTTGCTCTGTCCCGCCCTTCTGCTCTCTCCCACAGGAAGAGGCAGGACCTGCCCTGACCAGAAGTGGATTTTTCTTGCTTGGTGTGTCTTCTCTAAAGAAGGCAGGTCATTTCCTCCCCTCCCTACCTTCCACTGATTTCTTGGAAGATCCTTGCCTTCTAGTCAGGAGAATTTATGGCTTCATAACTTCTACCCCGAATTCTTTCTCACAGTTTAACTTCCACCCCTACCCCTTCCTTAGGCTTTTAAGAGGCAACCAGCCTTGGCTGCCAGCCTCTGATGCCTGCTGGGAGGTGGAAACGGTTCATCTGGAGCTGGGTTGAAGCTCCCAGAGACAGCCTGACATGCTTTTAGCCACGCCATGTCTAATGCTGAGCAGGCTGTGACCAACAAGCCCCACCACGGTGCGTGCCTTATGAAAAAGTGCTGTAGGAGACTGGTCTTCCTTCCCAGTGAGGAAACGTGGAGGGAGAGTTCAGCAGTCCCACCAGGGGCCGCTTCTGGCCATGCACCTAGCCCTGCAGTCCCCGAAAGATAGGATGTGTTTTAACCTCCAAGCAGAGTGGGCTCAAGTCAACCTGAAGACACAGAGCCACATCACAAGTGAATTTGGGAGGATTCTAGTATCTATATGACGTCTAACTCCCAAATGTGCTCATACCTTAGAACTGAGACTGTTCAAGAGTGAGGCTGCTAAGCTGTCCTGAATCTCAGACCCTCTTTTCTGATCCATATACATGCATATATGACATTTAATCATTTTGCAGAACCCGAATTGCATAGAAGTGAAAAAGTCCTAAGCAGCCAGGTGGTCCACTTACAAAGTGCTGCTAAACATCTGGTAAATAGTCACATGGTCCCTAGTAAGCATATCCACATCCAGGAATTCCTGGGCTGAGGTTGGTTATTCCATATGCAGCTTCTCTGTAAAAGAGTTCTTCCTTGAGTTTGACCAATGGGCATCCCCGCTGAGTCCAAACATTACCTTTCTGGATGTTCATTCATGCACATAGCTGAAGACATTTACTGGCAGCTTAATATTGCCATGCACCATGCTGGGTCCTGGATTGATGGGCCATAAATGTAACCCAACTCCCAAGAGAGCCACTGAACCGTGCCTTCAGTCATTCCTCCATCTCTAGTCTTGCATTCCTTCATTCCTCTCGTTCTCCCCACTGGACTTGCTCTAGCTGGCCTATGTCCCTTAGCAAGTGTATGTCCAGAAATGATATTGGAACTGGTTCAAAATGGAATAAATAACTCCTCTTTTATAATCCATTTTAGAAAATGAACCTAAGTTTAGGCAGTCATGAAGAAAAACAGGTTAAGAATAAAGGTTTGGGAGTCAGTATAGGGAGAGGTATCAGTTCATTCTCTTATCTTGGGTAAGCAAAGCAAATTGTCAAATCTGGGTGTCAGCAATTTTAATTTGTATCACCAGGGCAATTGGAAGGAGTGTTGAAATAATGCATTTGGAGTGCTTTGTATGGTGTCTGCCCCTTAGCTCCTTAAATGTTGGCTATTCTGTGTATCAACAAAACCGTATGTTTCTTTTCACATGTGCTTCTGATCCCAGGTGTTTTTGACACAGTGCAGGTCCTAACATCACTGAGTTCCCGCAGGTTTGTTAAACTTGCTCTGTTCCTTCAGCCTGCTATTTGGGATCCTGCATTCATCATATAACCTATTGTCCTCATGTAACCTATTCATCAAATAACCTATTAGGCTTGTCTTCAGTGTACCTTCGATGTCCTCATCCTAGTAAGGTGTGGATAAGTAAGGTCAAGGGCAGAGGCCTGGAATCTGTCTGTGGAAACTTCCTTCCAGATGAGTGTTGATCTTTTAATGAGTATTCTTTGGCCATGCTCATTCAGCCAGTCATGACCTTGTAAAATCTCAAAATCATTTTATGAAGTCCTCCCAGAATGAAATTTGGCTACCATTTTGGTATTATTTTCTTCAGGAAAAATGCTGTGTCTATGGAACATGAAAATCTCCTCCAGTTATTTTTTTCATAAAGTTCTTACATTTCACTTGCTTCCTCCATAAGTCTGTAATTCAACATTTTCTGGCACAAATCCGAATCAAATAATACCATGGCTTGCCTCAAAAGAATAATACTTTGTGAAACACTTTAATGAGAAAATGAATGAAGCTACTTTGCTTTATAAAATTAGTTCGAAATAAAAATTACAGGTTAGAAAAATATGCATAGTTCCTTCTATATAGAAATAACTTGGGTTGCTTTTTAGATGGTATCAAAAGAATATGCAAATATTGTCGAGCAGTTAGCATTAGCCCTTACGGTTTCAACGTGACGTTTTTCAGATCGGTCAGATAAAGACCATCAGACAGGCTGAAAGAGGCCACACTGCCAATGAGAAAGGGAGCAACGGAGTACATGGCTTCACCTATGCAAGCCTACTGAGTTGTGGCTGGTCTACTGGGCAATTTTAGGGTGGTTTTTAGGCAATTTTAGGGAGGTTTGATTGACCAGAGGTGCTTAGAACAAGCTAGAAGATAGGCCAGATATCCATGGTGTGTAGGCAGAATTCTAATTTGGCCCCCAAGATTCCCATCCCCCGGTGTCCATGCCCTTCCTAACCCTCTCTACTGGAGTGTGAGCAGGACCTGTGAATATGATGGGTTGTCACTCCTACGATTGCTATATTCTATGACAAAAGGACTGTTTCAGATGTAATTAAAGCCTCTAATGAGGTAAGTTTGGGTTAATTTTAAAAAGGAGGTTATTCTGGGTGGGCCTGGTCTAATCAGGTGAGCCTTTAAAAAAATGTCCTAGAGATTCAACATGAAAGAGAGTCTCCTGCTGGCCTTGAAGAAGAAACTGCCTTGCTGTGGAGAAGGCCAGGTGGAGAGGACTCTAAGTGGCTTCGGAGAGTTGAGAGTGACAGCCAGTAAGGAAATGGACCTCAGTCCTGTAACTGCAAGGACCTGAGTTCTGCCAACAACCAGTGAGCTAGGAAAAGGACCCCAGCCTCAGATGAGATCACCGTCCTGACTCCTATCTGACACCATCCTATCTGAAACACTAGGTTTCAGCCCGGTGAGACCCTGAACAGAGGACCCAGTTACCTTATGCCTGGACCCCTGACCCACAGAAAGTGTGAGATAACAGATGTGCATTGCTTCCAACTGCTGGGTTCATGGTCCTGTGTTCCTGGGCAATAGATAACCAATACATATGGGGACGAGTTAACAGTAGGGAGGAGAGAGGCTCAGAGGGCCCGTAACTCAGGAGGACATGTGCAGAGTCAACTGGCTTCCCCGATGGTGTATTTTCATGCAGCCACAAGAAAACCTATTCAGGACTAAGACTTCCCACTGAACATCGCACACGGAGACACAAAGTCTCTCTCCCTCCGTTGCAGTGGTTCTCAGACCTCAGCATGCATCAGAATCACCCGAAGGGCTTGTCAGAACCTGTGGCGGGGCCCCGTGCACAGAGTTTTTGATTCAGGAGGTCTGGGCCGGGGCCTGGGAATCTGCATGTCTAACAAAAGTTCCCAAGTGAGGTTGATGCTGCTGGCCCTGGGACCTCACTTTGAGAACCACTGATAGATAAAGAGGTTCTAGTTACTTTTACTATTTGACTTCTTTATCCAACCTTTTTCTCATTGGATATAAAAACATTTTAACACATTTTTAAAGCTAAGTTTAAGATAGAGAAGGGACAGAAATTGCTATAACTTTGAGTAGTCCAAAGTGGTTTTTTTCTTCTCTTTAGCCATCCCAGAACTTGTATTCAGGTGGAGTGATGAAAGACCAATTAACCCAGGCTTTAAATAAAGTCATGTTGTGTCCACAGGTAAAGGTCCATTTGGGGGCCTGCGGGACATCCGTGTTTTCCCTGTTTGCTATCAGCTCCTAGCTCCAGAGCATCAGCAGTCTCTGCTGCGCCCACCATCCAAGGCAAGGCCCCTCCAGGCCCTTGTTCCCAGGTGACAGGTGCTGCAGAGACACAGACAGGTGCTTGGGAGGGGCAGCGACTCCTTGAACGTATCAGTCCTGACAGACTTCTTTCTTCACCATGGACCTTCCAAGACTTGTCAAAGGCATCAGACTGGGAGTAAAAATGAAGTCTTGCCTGAGATGTGAAAAGAGCAGGGATGCCACAAAGTGCCCACAAAGCTATTGCAGGGATTCCACTAACGACAAAGCCCCGAAGACCACTGAAGACAAGAGTGGACAGATCTCTCGCCAGGAGAAGCGATACTGTGCAAGGACAGGGAGTGTACGTGAGGGCAAACCGAGAGATGGGGGAAGCAGAGACAGGAAAGGCTCATATTCAATTACGAACATGAACTGAAGAATGCTCTGGAGTTAGATTAAGGCAGGAGCACATAGCTAATTTAAGCATTATTTATTTGTGAGAACAGAGCATTATCATGTTATCCAAAATTATCTCAGTGGCTCACGCTTGTCATAAAGCTTGCTAATAATCTGGGTTGAGGAGGGGCGTGTTGGAGAACCTAACTGAAACCATCTGCTAAAATTGAATATGGTAATCAGGTCTTATTTTTATTATTTTGTTCATGATATAATCTTGGAGGAGTGGAATTGAGTGACTATCCCAGTAAACTCGTATTTATATGCAGAATGTAGGTGTCCTTGACTTTGCATTCCAAAATAAAGATGACTGATCTTTTCCATTAGAAAGGTTTGGGTCACCCCAACTGCCAACTTTTATGCTTTTATTTTTTTTTTCTCCCTAAGGAGATACAGGCACTTTATGGACCCTTCCCAAGCTGCTGCAAGATGACTGATGGTTGGACGTCTTTTAATCCAAGTAATGCAGAGTGTCTGAAGCTTTGGTAATCGGATCATACTGACTTTAAAGACCACTGCCAAAATATCCATAGCACAGAGGTTTGGCAACTTGATTTAATCATAGCAAAAGGATTACAAAGTGCAAAACAAGCCCCAAAACAGCTATGAAATGGGCCAATTCAGAAACTGACTCAGGCTAAGAAGTTGTTCAATGTCGCTGTCTCTCACTTGCTTTGTATCCCACCGCTCAAACTGCCTTCACCTTGGCCAAGGTTGGAGGCATTTGTGATGCACAGAAGAGAAAAGATGTCAAGGGAAATCGACTTGAGATCATAGACACAGTGTCTGGTGACGTGTCAGGCTTAGGGCTGGCGAGTCCCCAACCACGACACCCAGGTCATCCTGGTGTGGGAAGACCTGGCGAGGTCCTCTGAAAGGGAAGGCACATGGAAAATTTAGAAGCTGTCCCTTGTTTCTTTAGAGTGAGAAATTGTGGCTCTCCGTGACGCTTTATTCATCAACAAGAATACAGTTTGCATTAAGGCTTGTTTGCCGTTCAACAAATGTATTATGATCACAGCAGGAATTAAGGGTGATTCTGTGACCAGGCGCTTATATGGAATTTGTCACAACCTTGGCTTTAGAGGCCCCTTTCCATTCTGGGCACAAATACGGAGGTTCCAGTGTGAAACCTTTGGTCCTTCTGCTCCAGAAGTAGCTAGGAATAAGAGAGTGAGCAAGAAGGGCCTGTAGAGGCCAGCGCCATTTGGACACCAAATACCCCATTGGCTTGGCTCTCACTTGCATGAGTTCCTGGACAAAACAAAATTCTAGCACAAAACCCAAAAGCTCAGCACACATTTCTGTTGGGCAACTTTAGTCGCTAAAAAAAAAAAAAAAAAGGTGCAAATGCAGACTCCTGCATAAATCTGATTTGCCATGCTAGGCCAAGCTTGTTTTATTACATACATTCTGCATCCTAAGAACTAATAACTTCATATTGTAAACATTAAGCATACAGAGTTAAAATTCAAGGCCACATTCTATCATTGATTGTCTCTTTTGTCGTGTATCTTTGGCTGGCCGAGATCAACTCGTAGTGTATAAATGCATAAGTTATATAATTATTATATAAAAAGAAAAAAAAAACAAACATTGACTTGTATACTTCATTCTGACAAACGCACAGCGTTCGCGACTCGAAGGGAAACCGGAGCCTCTGCTTAACCCAAATGCCTAGGTGGTTTCGATGGCAGCTACGAAGAAGGCTACCTCTCACCTGACCCTGTGGGGACCAGAGCCCCCACCTCACGATGAGGTCCCGAATGTTTCTTTTAAATATCAGACAATTCCAGTTAAAATTTTCTTTTGACAAACAAACAAACAAAAAAAAAAGAGAGATGCATATTTTTGTTTCTGAATTCTACTACTCCCCCCCCCCTTCCTCCGCTGCGCGGTACTCTTCTTCTTAACGCTGCGTTTGGTAGAACACTGACCGATTAACCCACACGTGTCCTCCACTCGTTTCTCCAAGTCTCCGCACTGTCCTAAGTCCAGTCTCTACTGCTTGACAAGGGTCTCTCCCAGCCCCGTGGCCTCCTCTTCCTGTGCTCCCTCCTCTTCTACCTCCTCCAGCCCTCTGTCTACACCCACACGCTCACTGTCCGCACACGTTCTCAGCCCCACCGCCCCACCAGGTTCACAGTTCCACAATACTGTCAAGGAGTAAGTTGGCAGCCTTGGGTCGTCTTCACAGCTAGCGAGAGCCGGTGGCTCTCCACTCAATGTAAAGAATCTGACTTCACCCAAAAACAGCAAGTGCTGCTGAGTTCCATGTGGCCGTTGGTCGATGGGCTGCAGTCTCTCTCTTCTCTTTCTCTTTTTTTTTTATTTTTGATATGTTTCTATTTTTAAATACAGGTAGTTTTCCTTAAAATGACATTTCGATGGTACATTAGGTCAAGACTGCGTTACGACTATCACTTTATTCTCCTCCCCCCTTGGCATTAGCAGGACCTCAAACTCTCCTCAGAAGTTTGGACACTTCTTAAGAACACTTTCTTTGGCACTTTGTCCTTGTGACGTCATGCTTCTACTTACAATGTCTTTTACATGGTATGTCCATATCCATTACATTTGTAGCATCCTCTTTATTCCTGTAGTAATACTTTAGTAATTCCCTCCCACTAAGAGTCTTTGGATCTCTCCCCTGGATTCCTTCCCCTAGAGCCAGTCAGGCGATTTCATTCCTCTTGAGGCACTTTTGATTCATGTTCTCCAATAGAGTTTGTAGCAATTTCTTGGTGATCGTATGCTGTTGGGAAAGGCCTCCCTCCTGGCTCTAGTAGTAAGTGCCCAGATGAGAAGGCATATGGCTGGCGGGAAGCCTAGTGTTGGGGTATATACCTCCAGTTGGCGAATTCCAGTAGGGGTTTGGGGCGGCGAAAAAACTGGACGATGTCACAGGGAGGGCCGGAGGGTGGGGGGCCACAAAGTTCATCTTCTGTGGGTGGGCGTGATAGGAGCCCATGTAAGGGAGGTCCGAGGGGTACTTGTACAGAGATGATTCTGGAGGGTGGGGCTGCAGGGCCTGGGCGATCCCGTGGAAGTCAAACTTGTAGGCATAGCGCTTCCCGTGGACTTTGGTCATGATATTTTTGTCATAGTAGTAACGGAGGGCACGGCTGAGTTTATCGTAGTTCATATTGGGTTTGCTTTTCCGTTCTCCCCAGCGCCGGGCAACCTCGTCAGGATCGGTCATCTTGAATTCCCCATTGGTGCCTTCCCAGGTGATGCAGTTGGAGTTTGAGCTATCTGAGAGGAGCTCCAGGAGAAACTGCCAAAGCTGGATCTGTCCACTCCCTAGGGAGGTGGAAAAAGGAAACGAGACACCCATGAGAACAGGCTCTGAGCTAAAGGCTTTGTTTCTTCAGTGACAGAAGTAGGTGCTAGGGGTGTTCCACACAAATCCCATTAACCCGGCCCGTGCACCCATCCCTCAGCTACTGGGAGTGGCCGCAGCTCTCGTCCTGCAGCTTCCCTCCCTCTTCTTCAGAAAACTGCCCTTGGATGAAGAGGAGCTGCATCACCCATCCCAGGCAGCCCACGGCCCGAGGGGCTGACACCATGGACCAGAGGCTCATCTCCTTGCCCCAAGGAGGGGCCAATTCTGTGATGCTGTTCCTACTCCGGAGCTCCTCGCAGGATCAGACCATGGCAAGGTTCCGGCTAAGGCCACCAGCCCCCAGAGCTCGACCCCTGCCCTTTTCTGCTTCATCACCACCTCTCTCCCAGAAACATATACTTCATTGATCACTTGCACAGGTCTATCCTTACCCCAAGCTCTGTGTCTAGGGAACCTGACCCGAGGCGAGGATCCTCGGTGACTATCAGGCGGATCCACAGATCCAAGTCCTTTATGGAATGCAAAGAATTCCTATGGGGCCAAGTTTAGGTTGGTCCCATCCACTTCTGACTTCCTTAGAAGACCAGCCAAGTCCACTTTGTGTTTCAGGGGTGAAAGGGTTTATTTTTCCTCTTTTGTGAGGCAGAAAGTGCCATTATGTTGATGGCAATAATGACTTAATACCATTTATATTGGCAAGGTCAAGTAAAATAATAAAAGTCAGATTTAGGAAATGAACTTCTAAAAGTTTATGGAAAAACATAGAGAATGGAAGTAAACACCGTTATTTCTAACATAACATTTTGCTGGCACCCAGAAAGCAATTCTGTCAAAACTTTTCCTAGAACAGAATTAACCCACTCAGAATGAGGAAGTTTAGAAAATAGTTGGCTCTTTTTCAAACCAGATCACCTATTTCCAGTACTTAGGCAATTGCATCGTAACGGAAATCCACGTGTTGCCCCTGCTTTGCAATGCCAATTGTGTTCAGAAGAGCTTCCAGAAGAAGAACGGTGTGTGACTGCAAAGATTTTGGGGGAACCAACGAGACTCCAGCTTCGCCTGAGATCTTACTTAGCTGGGGATGCACAGTCAGAATTTTTTTGATCGCACTGGAGATGCGTGGATGTGGCTTTTAGGTTTTATTAAATTCCGAGAAAAATCCAGGCACATCATTCTAGCCACCATGTTACACTACTTTAAGATGATTTACGGCTCCCTACAGGAGAGAAGCATGCAAATATCGACAGCAGTATTGAGCACCGGGAGAAGCTAAGGTGTGCTGAACAGATTTTAGAAGCTTTGCGAGCAAATAAGAGGCATGTCTTTCCTCCCAAACTCCAGCTACAGTATTACCTCGGGCTTATACCATAAAGATTACTTTTATTACACGATCAGTAAATATCAGTAGATGTGATAAAATGATTAAAGCAACTTTAACTGGCAACCCTTCAGGGGACTGATGTCATGTAAAAATCAATTATAAATTTTTTTCCTAAATCCTCCCTCCTCTCTAGCTCCCTACATAAACTGTCCAACTCGTAAGTCCTTGTTTCCACACTGGCTACATGGAAATGGATATGTTTGCGAATTCATCCATACAACAGCATCATGAGAAAGGTCAGCCTTTTCTGAATGTGTTCTGGAAAATTATCATTTTCAGTCTCGCAACACATTTGAAATATATTAACAGCTTGTCGTTCATCTCAATGGAAGCCTATGCTTTTTCCGAACCACATATTCAAACTGTTCCCAATCAAGTTCTATTGCCCCCAACATCTCATTAATATGCATTTAAAAAAAAATACGAAGAATGGTATGAGAAAACCATATGGTTTTAGTATATATATTGTAACCAAAGGATTACTACTTGAAAAAAATTCCATATCGGACCTGGGAATAGGGAAAAACATGGATTTTTTACTTAACATTCCAATGTATGCTTCAATATAAACACATAGAGTTGTCCGAAAATAAATATTCACTGTCAACCTCCTCCCACAGAGAGATTAATTCTACAGATTTTGCATAAATACACAGACCTTCCTAAATAGCCAGAAAAATACTTGGCATTTATTCAAACTTTGACATTGCTCTTAAGAATCTGTCCCTTGCCCATTTCCTTTGTAAACACGTATAGAGAGAACCAGTGGACAAAAGTGGTTCCTATCTCTCCTGCTCCTGAAGAACTAGAAAGTCAGGGACCTAAATTCATGGCTGTTAATTCAAAGATGAGCAATTTCTTATCAGACCATTTTACCCAGCAGCCTTTAAGACACCGGGCTCAGGCCTCGGAGCATTTCAAGTGTCTATGGGAATCAGAGATCTATAACAAAATTCATCAGCTTCCAAATCCGAGCACAGAAGCAAAAACGGAAAATCAGGGGCGCCTGGGTGGCTCAATTGTTAAGCGTCTGCCTTCGGCTTGGGTCATGATCCCAGGGTCCTGGGATCGAGCCCCGCATCGAGCCCCGCATCGGGCTCCCTGCTCCACGGGAAGCTTGCTTCTCCCTCTCTCACTCCCCCTGCTTGTGTTCCTTCTCTCGCTGTGTCTCTCTCAGTCAAATAAATAAATAAAACCTTTAAAAAAAAAATGGAAAATCAATTCCTGTTTAAGTAAATGTTACAAAATGCAACATGACGTCAAGCTCATTCATTGTTAAATTTAATATTCATAACAAAATCTGTTGTATTCGCAGTCTAGGGCAGGTTTTCTCACTGTGCAAGAATTGTCAAGGATTGCACCATGGCTGCTGAGAACTCGGCCAATGGTATGTTAACTGAGATCCCTGTGGCCACAAATTTCAAAGCAATTAAAAACAGTAACATTTACTGCACTATAAAGACGCATTTTAGAGCATACAACAGGGAATCCAAAACAAGGATACCTAAGCTTTAGGAAGCCTGAGAGGGGTCTGGGTTGCTCACTGGCCAAGCCAACAAGTGAAAGGGAAGCTCTTACATTTGGGATCTGCCCTCCAGCAGCCCCACGACCTCCCCCTGGTCCATCACCTTCCTTCCGGAAAACCCTTCACATCTGTTTTCTAGACCTATCTTGGTAGCAGCTTTGAAACATGAGTAAGGCTTACTGACTTTTGCCCTGGTTTTGTCTAAGGTAATTAACCAAAAAGCCAGGACTGGGAAAAACAAAGACCTCCAGGAGAGCCCAATGGGATGAAGGGGGGAGGGGTGCAGCCTGAAATAGAAGGCAATCCTTTTATTTGTAGAAGAAAAGTGGTCTCTTAATGCAATTAAAAGAAAAGAAGAGAAGTAACAGTAGCAAAGAAGGTCGACTGAGCAGAAAAGGGCAAAACATCCAAAAGGCTTGTAAAGCACAGAGAAAAGCAGAGCTGGGAATGACTCAGCAGCTGTGGGTCCAGTTGGGGGGGGGGTCCCCAGAGCAGGGCACCTCGGCTGCCACCTGACAGAGGGGCAGAGCAGTAAAGGAAGCAGAGAGGGGTCCAATGAGCACCACGGTGTCAGCCCTTTGGGACCACATTCTACCGAACCCGTGCACACAGCCTGGCCCCTCCATCATGTTAAGCTCCCGGCAGCAGGCGCGTCCCAGGGGGAAAGCTTTGCCCCTGGGCTCCGTGTAGCTCCAGGCAGGACTCGGGAGAGGGCAGGGCAGTGCAGTGGCTGGAAGCACCGCTTTGGAAACATCGCGGCCTCTGCTGAGACCTGGCGCAGGCACATACGGGACCTTGGGCAGCTCACCCAGCTCTCCGTGCCTCAGTGCCCCGCTCTGTAAAATGGGGGTGAAGGTAATAGTACTATCTCGCTGGGTCACTATGAGGATGAACTCGGTGCATGAAGGTTTGGACTGAAAATCATGATTTGTTTGAGCTGAAGACCAGAGTTTAAAGAGAGGCACGCACCTTGCCTAGAGCTACACGATGACAATAGGAAGCCAAGTGCCCCCCCCACCCCATCCCGTGTACCCCATGCCCGTTGGCTGTGAAGAACTGCGAACAGTAATTTCAGGGCTGGCTGATGGCCACTGAAAGCCTACTATGCGCCGGGCACCGTCCTGAACACTTTACATGTGTTTTTTTAACCCCCCCCAATCATGTGACAGCCCATTGCAGAGGTGAGGAAATCAGAGCCCAGAGAGGTAGAGTGACTTATCCTGCTCAAGGTCAGCAAGGGTTGGAACCCGGACTCCAAGCTTGGACGCCAAATCACGGAACAAACCATTGCTTCCAGGCCCAGGTTTCTGCACACACCTCCACCCTCCCGACTCTTCTCCAGGGTGTCCCTTCCCTGGGCCTGGAGCTTGGGAGGTTCCCAGTGGGAGACTGGACACTCCCAGCTCCAACAAATGGCAAAGCATCACCAACACGGGTCTCTGGGTGCGCGTGAGGCTGGACACGTTTCACTCCCACCATTAAAGAGTCTCCAGTTAGCATTAAAGGAGCCGCTGCACATAACCCGAGAAAGCACTTTCAGTCCGTTAGAGAAGCCGCATTAAATGTGCAGCCATTCCGATGGGACAGAAAGCCGCTGCATGGCTTATAGGTGACCCATGACATAATTGTGCAGGGACTCAGCTCTCAGCAGGGGAGCTGCGGCCCATCAAATGCACATCGAATGAATATCTGGCTCGGGGACACTGAGATGCCATCATTGTTCTGTGCATGTATACACTATGATGTCACTTTCCACTTCAAATGATTAAGACGAGTTTGCACTGTACAAAGAGCGAGGGCAGGAATTTTAAGTGATGACGGATTTATTTATCAGAGAATGGGGAAACCGAATCAAACAGGAAGAGGCATTCTCATTCACAGGAAGATAAAAGACATTCCGGGCTTGGGGGGAGAAGACCACATGAACACAACTGACATGCGGCCCGAGGAGAGACGGAGAGAAGGCCTAATTCGTTATAAACGGAGTAGAACAAATCTTTACCCTCCAGCCCCGAGTGGGGATGTTGGCACCTTCCCCAGGCCCAGGGCGGACGGTCTTTGCGATACAAAGTGCAGTCTTCACCCCCAGTGCGAAGCTGCTGACCTGCCATGGACCGAGACATTTTCCCAGTGCCTGAACACTCCTTGAACTAAATGGAAATCCTTCCTTTCTGTTCTCTTCGCCTCCATTCTCCAAGCCCTCCCTCCTCCCTCATGCTTACTCAGGGGCGGCTTAGCGCAAGAAAATAAAACCGGACTTTGGCGACCAGAGAGTCAGGGCTCAAATCCAGCCTCCCTTCTTATTGGCTGTGTGACCCAGGGAAAGTTACCTAATGTCTCTGGACCTCCGATTCCTCTTCTGTAGGAGGAAGATAATGACGAGCCGGGGCTGTCAAGGGGCGGCACCATGGACATGAGTGCTTGCCCAGGCATTACACAGGGTGGGAGCTATTTGTTACTTCACGTGATTGTATTAACGTCCCCGGAGTGCCTCTGCTTCTGTTCCTTTTCCTTGCTCTAATCTATCCTGAACGCCGCTGCCAGAGCCGTCTTCCTGAAGCACGACTGATAATAGTCATCTCCAAACATGGGAATCATTTCTGTTTGAACAGTTTTGGAGCAGAGGGATGAAGGGGGACCAGAGACCCAGGAGTCTTGGCCACCAGTTGGATGCTCGCTGAAGAGAACAGAGCCTGTGGCTCCATGAACAGTGGACAGGGTTGGAACCACCTGCGTTCATTTCTCCACCAGAATGTAAGGTCCCTGAGGGTCAAGGACGGTGTCTCCTTACTCCCTGCATTCATTTATTCAACAAATAATTATCGAGCGCCTGGTCCAGTCTCCAGGGCAGAGTAGGAAACAGAACAGTCCCTTCTAACTGCTCAGATGCCCAAAAGGTATTTGCTGAACTAGTTAACGTTACCTAAAACTGAATGTGAACGCTGCAGACACCCAATAATGAAGATATTTCATGTTCTCAAAATACAGATTCCCTTGCTGGGATGCGTGCTGATTGAATCTGGACTTTTCCCTTTCCAGCCCGACTTTGGCCTCAGTGTTTAGGAAATATACATTCCAGCTTGTCCTTGCAATAGGCCTGTGTCATCCTGGCGTTTGAATGTGCCGTTGAGAATATGCAGCATATGCCGTGAATTTCTGAGGCAGATGCCAACACAGCTGGTTCTGATCGGTATACAAACAAATCAAACAGTTTGGTGGGCAATGCAATGTGATGACAAGTGACAATCCTTGGCAAGGGACAGGTCACGAGTGGGCCAGTTAAGAACGTGCACTTTGTTCTAGCCTCCAAGTTCAAAAACAGACCGTTCATTGACGATGATCCTGGATCTGAAGCCTTACGGTGGAAATTAAGGTTCTCCTTTTCAAGATATTATTTAATCGGCTTGTGTGATGGGTTCACCTGTGTCTCCCCAAAATGCCTATGTTGGAATCCTAACCTCCAGGATCTCAGAATATGACTTTATTTGGCATTAGGGTCTTTACAGAGGTGATTAAGTGAAAGTAAAGTCAGGGTAGGTTCTAATCCAATATGACTAGTGTCCTTATAAAAGGAAATTTGGACACAGACACACACACACAGAGAAGACAGGTAAAGAGACACAGGGAGAAGACAGCCATCTACAAGCCAAGGAGAGAGGTCTGGAACAGATCCATCCTTCACAGCCCTCGGAAGGAACCAACCTTGCCTGACACTTAACACTTTGTCTTTGGACTTCTGGCCTCCAGACTGAGACAATAAACGTCTGTGGTCGAAGCCCCCAAGGGAACTGATACAGCTTAGATTAGCTGATACTGCTCTTTGCTGAAGCTAAAGTCTTAATTCATAATATGACCCATTTTTTTTTCCATTTAGGCAAATAATCCAATGAGATCTAAACTCAACTTTGTTCAGTTGAAGGGATTTCTCACCGATACAAGTTAAACTTACAAAACAGCCATGGCCAAAAAGGGTAACTTTGTTAGGAGCAAAATCACCAGCATGATCTCACCTGGGTTTGCAAGGCGGCTACTTGTTGGTCCAAGAATCTGATAAGGATCTACAGCAAAAAGAAAAGAAGTCAAATCCCAAAGACCTCGTCATGATTTGGTATGAGGTCGCTGGAGGCATAATGCTCACCCACTTGTGTTTCAGGATTTCAGGCTTGAACGTACCCCCATACCAAAGTCACCTAGCACCACTTCCTGTACTGAATAAGATGTCACATGGAATCTGAGTGAAGTTTCTTGCTAAAGGCCTCTTAGCTGGTGGCCAAGTGCAGGATTTGGCTCGGGGTTCCCGACACCCAGGTCTCTCCATCCCTGGACAGAAACTGGGCAAACGTGGTATGTCCCCTCTTGGCCCCAGTGCCATGTGGGCTGTGTCCCTCAGCACACTGGCAATCTCCACCCCCCACTGCACTCCACATCGGACCTGGCAAGACGCTGGCACACTGAACATGGCTTGAAGGTGAAATGAAAACTCATCTGTCAAAAAGAAGCAGCCTGCGTGCAACAGAGTGCTTTCTCCATATTTACTGCATAGATTTCAGAAATGTTTTAGAAAAATCTCAAGCTATCCCTATTGAAAAGACTGATGATTTGGTCCACATTTTATATATGGAGCCATGATAAAGAAGACAAAATCACATTTATTTCATTTAGGAAGTGACACATTTTCAGAAATACGCTGCTAAATCTACTTCTTTTTTGATGGCCAGCAGGATGTTCCCTCAAACATACCTAGCTGAGGACGCTGGTCTTCGGTTTTGGGCACTGCGGAAGGAGACGGTTGAGCAGCTGAAAATCCAAAAGCAAAAGACAGAGTTAGCTGTAACTTCTATTTGACCATTAGTCTTTGATGATGTTATACTACCATCCCATCGATTATCTTAGTTATTAACATAGTAGTCTTACTCTTATACTAAGCTGCATTTAATGGCAAGAGAAGTGCCTTTCTAATGAAACCAAATGTAGACACTGTAGCAAAAAAAAGAGGGCACTTTAAATTATTCTAAAAATTTATAGAGCACTGTTTCCAAAACTAAAAAAAAAAAAAAGAATTTGAGATACAGATTAAAATGAATCACAGTCTAAACGAAACAGAAAAAGGGAAATCACCAGGAAAATAAAATAAAGCTACAGATACTTTTAAACATGGCCAAGATTAGGAAATCACCCAGTATTTAATCTGTGCCCAGACATCTCTTGAGACTTGCCTTTGTCCTTGTTGAAATACATTACATCATTTGTTTTTTTTTTTTGTTATGGAAGTATGGAAGTAGGTATAACCCCAGGAGAGAAAGAATCATTGCCTTTAAAGATCAGTTGCACTTTGTTGCCAATGGAACAAACACTTCATGCATTGAAAAAGCATGGATTCGCTGTAGAAATTGTTATGTGTTCCAAAATAGTTATCTACTGCCTTGTGACATGCAGATTCAAGCAGCTGGGCCAACACTATACCTTTCGACTGGGGGGTGGGGTGGCCGTGACTAGTCCAGGCTGATCTCCTGGGTGGGTCATAAGGTAAATCTGCAAAGACAAATGAATCAACTGAAAGATCAATAATGTAATTTTATAATAGATATAATCTCTGTTTTTTGTGATTGTTGTAATTTTTGTGTTTATTAGAATAACTATTGTGGGTGGAAATCCAGTAATCCAAAGAAATACCCAACCTGTATTCCATTAGATTTGGGTTTTACTTAGAAATTATCGTTTTGTTTATTCTATTGATCTAACATTTTCACCCATTGAGCTAACAACTCTCACTGACAGATTCTTGCAGAGTTTGGTGAGTCTTCCATAGAAACTTCCTACAATCACAGGTCAAGACCATATTAAGAGTTTCTCACGATCTACTTTGACCTGCTTCTACCTGCGACTGACCTAAATTCATCCCTTCGTTACCTTCATGACTCATCCAGAGCAGTGCTCACAAATTTGGTTAAGTCCACCAATCCTTGCTCGAGGTCTGCCCCTAAATTCATCAAATGACACTTAAGTTCCTTTTTCTTTTTCTTCCTTGGAAACGAGCATGGCCATCTTATCCCCTTACTGGTCAGCTGCCTCTCTTGGTGACCCCTCATTTTCTCTTTATAATCTCACCCAGTTATATTAAATCGGTTTTAAGGGTCCAGTTCTTTTTCTATGTAAGTATCTACTTTGTTTTTCTCCAAATGAATTTAGAATTTCTCTAGAAGAACTGCAGGAAATCAATCTCAAGATTGAAATAATATTGCCCATGCAACATGTTAACAATGAGCCTAGGAGCTGAAGCACAGGGGCGCCTGGGTGGCTCAGTTGGTTAAGCATCTGCCTTCGGCTCAGGTCATCATCTTGGGGTCCTGGGATCGAGCCCCGCATTGGGCTCCCTGCTCAGTGGGGAGTCTACTTCTCGGTCTGCCCCTCACCCTGCTCGTGCACTCTCTCTCTCTCTCAAACAAATAAAAAAATTTTTTTAAAAGTGCTGAAGCATATGCCAACGATTTCCTTGTATTTGCAATGCATTATCATTTGTCTTGTAAATCATCATTGCACTTCGCAATACAAACTTAACTATACTTCTGCATCCTCAACGCAAGTTCTTTTAACGATTATGAAGACTCTAAGTCATTTCAAGGTTCTTCCGAAAATATACTCCAGAACGTTACCATGCATATTCTTACTAACTGTGCATACATAAAGTGATTTCTACATGAAATCTCATCACAGATCCACTTCAAAACTATGTCTTCTTGGATTGATGGGGACTCACTTCAATGCCACATGTAATTCTGAGCCAACTGAAAGCCACAGGCAGATACTTCAGCACATCTGGAAATCGCTCTAAAATCTCACTCAAAGTGCAGGGCAACACAATGAGTCTGAAGCCTCTCTTTAAACAGATGATTTGACCCTGTTTTAGACTGGTAATCTGGTGGATCAATCTTCAAAAAGTTTGACTACATTGCTCAAGATGCATCTCTTCCTATTTTCGGATCCCAAAGAGAATACCACTGAAATGCAACGTGAAATTCAACCCAGAGTTGCCTTAATTTATTTGGTCTGTTTGGCTACAGGCATCTCGATCAGTGTGGTCTCTGAAATCCTACCCTCTATAGCTTTGGTTGAGTAAGATAATTTTTCTTTTTAAACTCTGCTATTGCTCACCCCTCCTTCTCCACTGGCATTTTTGCAGTTTGGACCATAAGCCTTTTCCCACTCAGCTCCTCAGAGTCTCACTTTTCTGGTGCTGGGGTTGCACATGGGAATTAAATCTGCAGCCGCTATCAATTTACAACTGAATTTCAACTTAAGTCTCTGGCAGCCCTTTGCACGTGGATACTCATCTAGTCGCATTTTGTCTTAAAAAAAAAAAAAAATGGTCAGCCAGAGTTTCAGTTTGAAAATTGTCTCAGAAGGAAAACTGGACTACCAAGACTAATATAACAGCATCTAGCCGAACTCAGGAGCCAACAGGCACATCTTGACAAGGGGCTTCGGTTGACTGAATGAAAAAGCAAGTCAATACTGAACTATGTTCTAGATCCTAGATCTCTAAGTGTGGTCCGCAGACCAGCAATATTAGCAACATCTGGGAGCTTGTGAGAAAGGCAGAATGTCAGTCCAGAGCTACTGAATCAGAATCTGCATTTTGACCAGATCCCAGGTGACCTGGGAACACACTGAACCGTGTTTGAGCAACCCTGTTCTAGACAATTTCCAGTACTTATTTCTAGGCAGGAATCTGGGTTCCTACAGATAACGATCTCAGAACTACTACCTGAGCATGTCAGTGCAAATGAATAAAAGTGTGCAAAGAGCTCTAATTTGGGTCCTTTTTACCAGAGAGAATGCTAACAGAATGAACAGCAAATGTCAGCAGGTTGGTCCACTCCCACTTTAAACATAAAAGTATTGCTCATGAAATGTGACTGGAAAAAAACACCCAACTACTAAGAGAAAAATATTTTGAAACCCTTTATTCATAAATCCTTCTTAGGATGTATAACCATGTTCCATCCTCCCTTGAAAATAAGTCAGGACCTAAACAACACCAAGTCTGATTTTTAGCCAAGAATTTGAGATGTTTATATGAACGATGATTAACATGTTCATAAACATATTGCCATGGAAGATAAGTAGGCTTTTGTTTTTGTTCATGAAATTCTGGTCCAATGCTTCCTTATCAGCTACCGCTCACGCGCTGTGGGCACTGAGCCTCCCTCCTGTGGGAGGGGACACTGGGCAAGACTGAATGAAGCCACACCGGGACAGGAGGCCACGGCGGGGCCCCCTCCAACCACAGCACCCCGCAGCATGGCTAGCGCTGGGCAGCTCTCCTCCTGGGCTGCTTGAGAAACTTTGACTCCGTGCACATTTCCTATGTGTCCCTTACTAACAGTAGGACACGGAACTTCTACTAAGAACAGATTTTACATTTCATTTTTGGCAGTCAGTTCAACACACTCTCCATCTCTCTTGAACTGTGATCTTTGAGGTAATTAACTCATATACTTGGCAGAAGGTCCCGTGTCAGAGAAAAACTGCTTTCTGGCACTGGGTCTGCTATTTCTTCTGTAACAGGCTGTGTGTTTAGAAACCAAAATTCATAAAAGGCATTCAGGGGCAGCTTAGGGTTACCACAGAAGTGTGTTTTATGCCATGATCCAGATCAAGAAGCACGATACTGAAAATAAGGAGTTTGACTAGTGTTGGGTCCCTCCACACTAGCACCTTGATTTATCTCCTGGGAGCTGGGATTGGTTCCTGTTTTTGTATGAGACTCGTCCCCCCTACTCACTCCCTTCCCTGGGCATCAGTGAATCAAGACAACATATATATTCTATTCTCCTTCCTGCAGGGTTAAGTCCACCAAGTTTTGTATTCTGGTTTCATCAAGCTTAAAGACGAACATCCTCTAGCCCTCAGGATGTCTACCTGCCCACTTTATTTTTTAATGGACCAGAACTTAGACCACAGGAGAGCTCATCCTCATTCTGCAGGATCCGCACCACTTTTGCAAAGCTGAGCTGAAGGGCCCTGGCTGGTCTGGGCGGGGTGGGGTAGGGAGGATGAGATCTGCCTGCTGTCAGTGAACCTGGATGCTGATGCAAAGACAGAAAGACTGAGAGCTATTGCTTAGGACCAACCGATAAACCCCTACTCAGTGGAAAGAAGTTCTGGAGTTAACCCTAATGTGATTAAGTCACTCTCCCTTGTTTTCCTCCAGACCTTCCTCCAGGCTTCTAAAATCCTCTATCAAAGACGTAGAAATCTGGGAACATCTTGCATTCCTTTGTCTCCTAGCTGTGCAGATCACTGTGGTGAGTCTAGCCAGGGTGCGGGGGGTTTGGGGGGTGGGGGGTGGGAAGCAAAGAGTGCATTTTTAGCCATGAGCTGGGATATAGCTTTACATAGCACCTGACGGAGGAGAACGTGCATTAGCTGCATTGCCTTGGTGCTCAATTGGTGACAATGTCACCAAGTTGTGAACTCCAACGGGGGAATTGCTTAAGATTCTGAGAAACCCCTGAAGAGCACCAGCTGCAAAGCGAAAGTCAAGGCTGCATTTTCTGGCTCAACCCTCCAGTCTCTTTTGAGAACATTCTAGATGTGTGTCATGATCCGTGGATTGCATGCTGATGGAGGAGGAGAGACAGGATTTCAGAATGTCCCCGTTGGCATACACCAGAGCTTTCCTATAAACTGCCCCTAGGATGCCAGGCGGGGTGGTACATCACGAGGTCAAAAACCAGCATGCAAGTTTCGATGAGTCAGACCTGTCTCTTTCGTGTCACCTGAGACCTCAAAGGGCCATGAATCCAAAAGGCATGTGTTCAGCAAGGAAGAAGGGTACTTACAGAAGAGATGGAGAAAGAGCTTCTAGTAGTTCTAATGTGACACAACCCAAAAAACGCATGAGACATCCTAAAACCATGACCATGAAAAACAAAATGTAAAATGATATGCCAATGTGCTAATGCATTATAAGAGTAGGGAAGAGATGGATCTAAATGCTAACTCAACAATGGGATCATGAAAGGAGGGTGTATTTTGAATCAGGAACATTTGAACAAAGCAAATAGGAGCAAGCCTGGGAAGAGAAGGGAGAGGTATGAACAAAGCAGTGAAATGTCCGTGTGTGCATTCCTTCAAGGTCAATCCCTGCCTCCACCTAAGTAGAGCAGTAACTCTCTTCTCCAAGGTCAAACCCCTGAATCTGGCTGTCAGCGAATAGTTCTGGCTTGTTTGGTCTGATTCAAAGTCTTTATAGCTCATACCCCAAATTGTGTGTATCCCCCTTGACAATCACAGTAGCAGTTATCAAAATAGGTATTTTTGATACAAACTGAGTCTCAGAAACATACTTTACTGGTATGGAGATATGGAGGTGTGATATCTTCCAGGTCACACACAGATGAGGGCCCCAAGGAAGGTCTTATCAGAGCTATGCAAGGTGCATCTGACTTGGCCACCTGTCTTTCCTAGGGCCGAAGCACAGAGGGGTGTCCCAGACATCACCTCCCAGCTCTCCCTCTCCATACACCTGGGAGACCGTATCTTCCAAATCTACTATATCCTAAAATATGAAAAAGAAGTCGCTCCAGGATTCACTGTCCTATGTAGCAACAAGCAACCAGCTAGCTGGTCTGACCACTGGGTACAGCCCAGATGGATTTGGCCAATGTTGTGATCTTTTGACAAAACTCCAACACTAGCTCATGATCCCTGGATTTTGCAGCTCAGTCAGGGGCACCCATGAGTAGCTTCAAACACACAAACAAGCAAGCAAGCAAACAAGCCCTGGACCCCCATTTTAGATAGCGCTTTTTTTTTAAGTATGGATGGAATATTTTTTAAATGCTCACAAAACCTTTGTGATTTTCCTACACTTCTGTTTGTTTTCCCAAGGATTCATTTATTAGAGGTAAATGGTGGGGTTCTTTGTGGTCTAGCTCACTCTAGACCCTGGGTCTTGTCCCCAGTTAAATGGCCTGGAAAGCCTCTAACAGGACAGAGGTAAGTAAGCACTTTGGCTAAGCCTTTCCATCATGTTCCCCAGGAGCAGGGCAGCAAACCCTTCCTCCAACGTTGGAGAAGAGGATAATCACCAGCCTGAAGGTACTAAGGCGGTAACAGGGTAATGTCAGAGTGGGAGCAATTCTGAGAAGCTTCTCCGCTCATGCTATTTAGCTCACTGGTCCCCAGTCTTTCTCACTGCAAAGAAACAGTGGTGCCAAGCTTAGCGCCCTGGACGAGTTCAAAATGAGTCTTGTGTAGCCTGGACGTGAGCCAGAGGTCAAAGGGCGACAACTTGTGTCTAGGAAGACATGAGTCGCAGATCCACGAACGGATATGGAGAAAACAGGTTAAATACTTATGTGCGTGAGTCTAGATCCAGCTCTAGGTGGCTCTACCGAAACATCGAGACCTTTGGGCCAAGTGCACATGTGCTCCCATGAGCTGGGTCCTTTGTACCTCCGTGGCTGGCACGCAGGAGGGACTCCCTGGACATATGTGGAATGAAGAGCCAGCTCTCTGAAGACAGGATGCTTTCTGAAGTCTGGCTCATCCTCATGCTCCCAGGATGTAACATTGTGCTTGTCACTAATAAGCCCTGGATAATATTTATTTTTTCATGAATGATACGTAAATCAATTACCTAGAGAAATCCTCAGGAAAGACAGAAGGTAAGAGTCTATTGTACATTTTATCTACCACATGCTTCTGCCCTGAAGGACTGGCTCTTATGACCTGCTGGGAGTCCGTCCCTAGCGCTAAGGAGATTCCTCGTGTAAGTCCTTCCATGACCTCGAAAGCAGACGGATTCCTTATTGCCAGGCATCCGGGGCCCATTCTTGCCCATCTGTCTTTTAAAGCAGCTCATTAAGGGGCTGGTCTGCTTTGAATTCTGCAGTCAGGGACCTTTAGTGTGATCTTTGAATGAAATGGTCTGACCCAATTTTGGCTCCCAATCCACAGAAGCAGAATGAGACTGTTCAGGACTCCCTTCAAGACCGAGGATCCTCTCCCTCTGACTCACGTGACTTAAGTCACGGATCTCACGGGACATCCTGGGATGTCTCTCAAGGAACAGATCACACAGGGGGGTTTTCGTACCTGGCCTAGTTGTAATTCTTTGCGTAGCTTCAGGATATACTGAAGTATTTGGGAATATAAAAGCTGCACCCCCTGCAGACAAAAGGAAAGACAAAACATGTGAAGGTCTGTTGTTGTGGTGGTTGATCTCAGCAACAGTGCCATATCTACTTTGCCCTGTGACACCAAAGGGAGGCACCCCCCCTTGAGCCTGCTGCTCCAGACTTTGGGGAGGAAGGGATGGACAGGCACAAGGGACAGAAATTGATTCTGACTACGGAAGTGGATGGCAAACTGTCCTGTGCCCCGTTCGTGATAAAGTGTCTTGTGTTTTGATCTTACAGCTTCTTGCTGAAGTCCATCTGTGTGTCCATCTCCCTGCCAGCAATCTCATTTTATTAAAAAAAAAAAATCCTATGGTGCGATTTTCATTTTTAAATTGCATAAAAATCCATAAAACATTTGAGAGAGCCCTTGGAAAGTCGTACCAAAGGATTACAAATATGTTGCCAAAGACTATATGGATCTTATTAAAAATGATCCCACACCTCTATTCAAATGCACGTTTCCCGGTCTCTCTCTCTCAATCAACGCCCCTGTCGTTAGCAGAAAAAAATTCCCTTTCCGCAGTTAGGTCCATTTGGAATTGGTTGTCCTTTTCTTCAATTGTTCAATGTTCCACAGTCACGAAAGTAAGGAAAACAGAGCTTTCTTGAAACTTTCCCCTTGGTGTTATACATTTTTTTAAAACAACTGTGAAATTATCAGAAAATGTGTATAGCTCAAAGGTGTTTCCTAAGAGAAGGAAATTACTTTGTCTAAGTTATTTGTTATTTCTGGCCACAAGGTCATTAATTGGCTGATGTGTGTAACCTACGCTGAAAAAGTACATGACTGACTCGAAGCATTTTTTTTCTTACTTTACATTAAAACACAACGTTCTGAATATTGAGGACCAAGATTAAGCAGCGATTTCATTGTAACACTCAGACCTGGACTCACTCACATGACACATTTTAAAGTAAACTGGCAAATGGCTGGAACACGGCTGTGCTTCCATGTGAGGCTTCTTGGCTTATAAGCGGGTTACCCACACCTTGCCAGAACACGAAGGTTTTTCCCCTAGCCTGGGTGGTGGCAGAGCGTCCCCGCAGGCTGATACAGTGGGGTGAGCAGCCTGTGGCCATGCTTCTATGATGGTCTCTATCAGGAGGGAGACAACGGAGGCCAGCCAGGAGCACATTCGTCCGCAGAAAGCCAGCTTCTACTATGGGGGGGCAGGGGGGAGGTTAGCGGGGACGAAGGATCCTGTTAAACTCTACTAGGCTCAGGCAATACATAAAGAGAATGCAGAATCTGTGGTTAGAGACAGAATAGCAGGGATTGAGTTAGCCACTAATTTCATATCCTCCAAAATTATAACACAGCTTCCCTTTCAACAAAAGCTCACATAAAGTAACGAACGAGCATTCCTTTCTACTGCCTTTTGCCAATGTCCAAAGTCTGTGCAAGAAGACTAAAGTCAAGACACGTCAAATGTCCTAAAACGTTTTCTAAAAGGGAAAAATAAAACTCCTGCTTGTCCTAATACACACTCCTTTAAGAATGAAAATGAAAAAAAAAAAAAAAAGGAATACTAAGGGCCCCTTTTCATCGAACATGCTTCTAATTTCTACAGTCAGCACAGCGCGTATTGGGGGACTAATAGCAGCAGATTATAATCCAGCAAACATGAGCTAAGGCAATGGCTAAAGGCTAATTCTGCGCATCACCGGGTTAAAGAAGTCCTTTGATTGTCAAAGGGAGTGGGCAGTGCTTGGAAACCAAAGGGCGCCCCCTGCCTGTAGGCTCTGGTACCTCCCGCAAGAGCCTCCCGCATGTGCGGAACCCCTCAATCATCCTCTCTCCGTTCTGCCTTTCTGATGCGCTGCCCATCCCGCGTGCCACCTTTAAAGCATGCAACCTGTGGGCAAGACCCTGCATTTGTCCAGTGGGCAAGGGGCAGGGCCAGCATTACCTGTGTTTCTAGCATGCATTAACCGTGGAGAGTTTTGTAAGGCTTTATCAACATCATCTGAAGTCAAATGTGGAAGAGGCGCTACAAAACAAAACAGAAGGGACATCAAAATGAAAAAAAAAAAAAAAGAGAGAGAGCGAGAGAATTACCTTCCTTTAAAAAAAAGAAGAAGGAAGGAAGGAAAACACCTCCCCACTCCCACCCTGGTATCCTGGGCTGCTTGGAAATCTCTCCATGGCCCTGCTGCTCGTTAGCGTGTTAAACCCTAGGTGGGCCCATGTTTAATTCAGGGAGTGAGTGATCGGGATGCCAGGCAAAGCGTTTACACCAGAGTTCACACCGCCCCTCTACTTCTGTCCCCTGCTAACCATGCTTGACGTCTGACAAATTAAAGCATGCAGCAAACTTGGTGAATTCATGCCCCTGATCGCCAATATGCCATTCCCATTCTGTCAGGTGAAGCCACATCTCATGATCCCAAATGGAAACTTTCCTCCTTTCGTGTGCAGGTGGGATCTGGAGGGGGCTTGGTTTAGCGTTAGGGAGGATAAACCTCATAATTCCCATCTGGTAAGAGCCTTTCCATCCGTTTCTTTCTCAGTTTGGGGCACCATGGAGACTCAGTCATGTGTGACCAGATAAGGCTTTGGTTCCCTTTGCCGTGTGATCGGCTCGGTGGAGGTGACCCTGCCAGAGGCAGCTGAAGGCTAACGTGACATTTTGGCTTCTGGGAAAAGCACTGGCTGCTTCTCATCATGTTCACCTACATCCTGGCCTCGTAAACCACTGGTTCTCTCAGACCCTAAATGAGAATGGAGGGCAGGAAGAAGCTGTCCACAGACTGTTGTGAACGCTCTCAGCTCAGGCTAGCCAGGACCAGCACGACAGTGATCTCTGCCCCGAGCAGGGACCATCTTACTCTCTCTGAGGTAGTGCAGGTGCGAGAGAAGGATGTCAGCGTTGTAGCTTGGGGTGAGCCTCTGGAAGTCGTCCTTGGTCATCTTGCACAGTTCCTTCCCGTCGATGTTCTGGAACAGCAAGACGTCGACGTCTGGAAGGCCGTATTCTTTCACTGCCCACTCCAGCCACTGCCGGACATGGTCTGTACTCCACAGCGTAGGATCTGGAAGGGAATGGAACATAATCGATCAACTCCCGAAGAAACATTTCTAGGGCAGAGCCACCTCCCGGGTGGCATCCCAGCAGTGCAGCTTTCCAGAGCGACCCCTTTTCCTGCTGTCCCAGAAGAACAGCCTCCAGCCTGACTCAGTGACCTGTCAAAAGGAGGTGTCTTGGAGGAAAGACGAAAAAAAAAAAAAAACAACTCCAACTGACTCACACGCAGAGATCGTTGCCTTTAAAGGGAATTGTTCTGGAAGTCTAGGATCATTCACACCATTGCCCTCTGGTTGCTTAGAAAATCTAAAGTTCAATGTGGGGATGATTTTTGTGTTTTTTTTTTAATCATTCATCTTTTTCACTTACTTTCACTTTTATTTATTGATTTAAAATTTTTTTAAAAAATGGCAACTTTCTTTCCTTATTAAACTATGGGCATCTTTATATGAAAATAAAAAAGTTCAAGACACAGATCAGGAAGGTGTTAATTACCATCACACAAAACACGTATTTGTACATAATACTGAAAAATACTGACCACAAAATTGGAAATAAAAGTATAGGTAAACCAAAACCCCAGCACCTCCAGTGAGCTAGTATTTCTAAGAGAGAGCTGTCAGTTCCTTGCTTTTCCCTCAGAGAATTTGGTTTTGCACCTACCTGGCACCTGCAGGGTAGGGGATGGGCTGGTGGACTTTCACACCCTACAGCATGCTGGCAATGTCATCGTGCTCTGCTGCCACTAATGGGAGGGGACCTGGGTGGGATCCCAGAGGGCACAGCCCCGGGGAGACGGAGCAGGCAATCCCCGAGGGATATACAACTGGGACTGTCCCACATGGACACCCCAGGTGGAGGGATATTTAGGGCCCCCAAATACTGGCAGATGGAAGACACCCAGGCAGAGAGCAGGAGCCCAGAGTTCAAATCCTAGGGTCTCTCAACTTGCTGCGACCCCTGGAGACTGCTTCTCCTTTCTGTATCTGTTTTACATGTAAAAGGAGAACCTTGACCTTGGTTCTCTGGACAGGCCCTTAGAGGTCGGGCATGCCGAGATGTTCTGATCAGAATGAGTGAGAATCTGGTGTAAGGATAAGTCATCCTTTCAAACCACTTTGTAGCTAATAGCTCTAGAACCTTGTTTGGTCTTACTGATGTTTCGGGCTACTCAAGCGTGGGACACGTTGGAAGAGATTTCAAGTCTACAAAAGGAAATAGCAGTAACAGTGAGAAACAGCCAGAGAGTCACACCACCAGAGTTCTCACCTCTTCCCTCCCTGCCTTCCTCCCTTCCTTCCTTTTTCCTTCTCTCTTTCCGTCTCCCCTCCCCCCATTTCACACACTAATGTTTCATATCTTTTTTAATTTAAAGAAATTACTTCAAATCCAATGGAAGTCACCCCTTCGCTCCCCCCTCCTGAACACTCCAGAAGCAACCACCATCTGAACTTGATGCACACATCATCCCTATGTATATTTGAATACTGTTGCCATATCAACTATATGTACTGTTTGTGTTTTTAAACTTAACATGAATGATATCTGATTCGCTTTTGGCACCCACCACTGTATTTTCAAGATGTGTCCAAGTTAATCCATGTAGGGGTATTCAATCAGGTAAGTAGCTTTTGGGCCCCCTCATATGCATAGACCCAATTTACTGACCAGTGAATATCTGAGTGTCCACCTCCCTGGGTACATGTGAAGGCATCTGCATTGGCCCACAGCCCTGGCTCTACACTGGAATCACCGGGAGAGGGGAGCGTTGAACCTGGTCTCATCCCGGAAGACTCTAACTTAACTCTGCTGGAGGGCAGCCTGCGTATCGGAACTATTAAAAGTTCCCCAGTAACTCTTATGTGCAGGCAAGGTTCAAACCATCACCCCCAGGGCCTCACTGCTCAAAGTGTGGTCCTGGGATCTTGCAGAGTCAACATCACGTGGGACCTATTTCAAAACACAGAATCTCAGGTGCCGCTCCAGACCTGCATTTTCATCAGATCCTCAGATGATCCATGTGCAAGCACGGGGAGGTGCTGGCCTGAAGGGAGGACCTAGATGGGCAATTATTGGGGTGTGGGGCACATAAATGTTCAATTTTTCCGGTTAGGATGAGATTTCCACCAATTTTGTGACACTCACACTCTCAACCAGCAATCAGTGCATAGAATCTGAAAACCAGGGAGCACTCTGGTTCTGTGCCATCTGCAAAACCTGAAATGGCAGTGTTGACAGGAAGGTGTGCACATTCCTGTGCAATCCAAACACACGGGAATGCTCTGTTAGTCCGTGAAAATGGAGTGTGTATATGGAAGGTTAACTTGTCCACCATTGAGTTCAGATGGTTCTTTGCCATTGGGTCAGGATTTGACCTTGGGGGATAAAATGGTCAAAACTCCAGACTGTTTTTATAAAAGATCTTCTTTCTTCTTTTTCTCATGGCCTGTCATAATTCCTCATTATACTGATACGGATCGTATTTAAGGATCCCCAATTCAAGCCCTGTGCCCTTCGGTTCCGTGTGGAGGACAGTCATGACCTCTCAGACAGAAGATCCTCCCGTCCGCCATCCTCCCCAGGTCATTCTTCTTAAATCCCACCACCAGGTATTAGCCAAACCCTTCGTAATTGTGTTTTGTTTTGTTTTATTTTTGCCTTGAACAACCTAGAAGGACTATTTTGGCAGGGGGGGCGGGAGGGCTGGTAACCACTTCCTAGAAATCAGTTCATTCTGGGACTGCATTTTCTTCTCTTAATGGTTTAACTAGATATTCTAAAAATGATATATAAATATCTTCCCGAAAGTCACAGGCTTCATGTTAAAATGGTAAAATGACATCTTAGGAAGACAGCCAAAAAAAAGAAGTCTAATCTCTCTGTGGTCCCTTGGTGTGCTGCTAATTGGGTTTCCCTTGCTAAGCCCAGGGCTGTCATGGCTCATTCAATTTTCCTTTCAGGGACTCATGGGCGAGACCCCAGGGACCAATTCCTTGACCTGCATTGTTCTTATTACCAACATTCTCGCTTTGGGTTGGTGAAACGGCCGTTCTCCTGTACCGTTGGCATGACTATAAATCACTACCACCTTTCCAATGAACAATTCGGCAATACATTTGAAACGTCTTTAAAAAAAATATGTGCATCATCTCTGAACTAAAAATTCCACTTCTAGAAATTTATCGTAAGGAAATAATAGAGGATGTGCGCAACGATTTATTTTCAAGGATGTTCTTTGTAGTGGTGTTTATAATAGCATAACATTGGAAACACCCTAAATGTCCAACCAAAGAGAACTAGTTAAGTTGTGGCACATTTAGGGATGTTCCTGTGATACTTGGAAACTAAAATTATACTGCCGAATAGTTTGATAGGAAAAAATGCTCCGAGTGGATTAAATTGAAAAGTTTGAAAACATTATTGAAACATAATTAAACTTTGCAAAGAAATGTAAATATATCCATGGAAAGAATTTTGGAGGGCTCGGCAGTAAGAGGTCAACTGTTGTCTCTGGGGAGAGGGTGATGGAGATTTTTAGATTTTTTTTCTTTCTCACTAAACTGTACTTTCTCTTTTTCTCTCCAATAAACATAGTACTTAGGTTAAAAAATTGTTTATAAAAATATATTCTTCTCTTTTTCAAAGTCAAAACAACATCTTACGAAGGATTTAAATACATATATAGATATTGGGACCTATTTTGAAATATATATATTTTATGTATTTTAATGTATATATATAAAGAGGGCACATGATGTGATGAGAACTGGCTGTTATACGCAACTGATGAATTACTGAACACTACATAGGAAACTAATGATGTACTATATGTTGGCTAATTAAATAAATTATATATATATATTTGTTAAAGTGTTTTTATAAAACTTTCAAGGGTATAAAATTTTAATCTCCCTTTCTTATGCAGTTTACTAATGGGGATTGCTTCCTTTGAAAAGAATAAAGTTACACAAGGTTGTGTTACTTCTGTTATCTTTTTGGGAATGGATCTCCACATCCCTGCCCTGTAAGTTTACAAGCAAAGAATATGAAAAACAAACTATGGCCATATGATAGAGTAAAGGACAGTCCTTTCTGACCTGTCCATGGAGTGCCATTATTCCGGACCTTCTCTGGAGGTGTCGTAACAGAGAACACTTCTCAAGAGACAAGCCCAATCTCCCACACATGAAGCACAGGACCCTGAGTTTGCCAGATCCCACTGTCTTCATAGGTGTCATTCTCAACCACTCCCATCCCACCATCCTACAGCCACACACAGCTGCCTGCCATCTCCTGAACCAATGCCCCATGCCTATGCCCAAACACCACCCACTGTTTGCTGGACTAGCCCCTTCTTGTCCCCTCTCCTTCGCTCACCGCCTCCTTTGGGCATCTAACCTCGATGATCTTGAGAGCTAAGCACTTATAATGACCCTTTGGGGCTGCACCAATGACAGCCCCACAGTGAGCCCCACCCTCCCCAGGACCTGGGCCCGGCATGGATGCTGTAGCCGTAGGTAGCGTTCTGTGGAGTTCAGGTCAGTGTGTTGGGTCCCAGCTCTCCCTTCAAATCCACAGAGAGCCCAGTAGAGTCTCTTGGATCTCCTCCATGACCCATAGTATGTCAGCAAAGCTTTCTTCTTCTGTCCCACCTTGCCATCACAAAAGGGGGCTCACAAGGTCCCACAAGATTCAACAGACCTCACCTCCTTCCCTGATGCCCAACTATGCATGGGAAGAAGAATGGGGAGGGGGCCACAGAATGGATCCTAGTCAAGGCATCACCTTGGGCTATGTTAAGGCATGCCATTCCACACCTTTGGGCCCAAGTGAGCAGTGCGACTTAGGCCCCATCACCTGATCTCATGATGGAGCCTGCTTTTCCTCTTCTAAAAACAACACGCAGAACTCAAGGACCTAAGGAATGACTCCCCTAGGAGAAGGACTACGATTCATTTAACTCAAGTAAGAATTACTGAGTATTTACTGTAAACACAAGTACACAGG